CCCCACTATGATGTCCCTATGTCGCTACGATGTGTACAGCTGGTAGACTTCTGAGTGTGTTTTACCCATCAGTAAGCTTGGACTGTGTATGCACACTGTTTTATACCATCTTCTGCCAATTCTTTGGCTTCAGGCAGTGCCAAAAATAGCTTTCCGTTAGGGTTTTGGGGTACTTGTGATCCTGGCAGCTTTGCTGATTCCTTGTAGTAACATTTCCTTCCCAGGAGGGCCCCCAGGACCAGGTGTGGTTCACAAACAGGGTGTGTGACAGGTATTAGACAGGTCTGTCCTCTCCTCAGATTTCTAACCATGACCTGTTTTGACAGCATGACTCACCGCTCTGATGGGTAACCGGCAGCAGCCCTCATGGGTCAACCATAATTACCACAGCTCGTCTGACTTGTGTTAGATTTGTCATTTATTTTCTGTGGGAGCTGCGACAGTGGTAATCAGTGTCCCACCACCCTCCTTAAACTGAAGTACTGCTTATTAGAACAGAAGCACGTATTCTTTAAGAGCTGATGTTCCTCTAGAACAGACTGTGTGCTTAACAGTCTGGCCGTGTTCACTGTAGCAGATCTGTCTTCCCCACAGAGATGCTTTGTGTTGGTGCTCACCCCTGCTGCGGCAAGTGTCTCTTTAAATCTCTCCTTGCAGGCATGCAGTAGCAACCACACTGTTTTGATCTGTTAACTCCCAGCATCCGCCAAACTAAGTCTGCAGGTTGTCAGGATCGTCCCCATTGTGCTTCAGATGTTACCTGGAGGTTATCGTCTGGGAAGCTGTTGAGTTGGTTCCCCGTCAGGGCACGCTGAGCTCAGTGATATATGTGTGTGCGTGTAGATTCCCTGCTCTCCCAGCCCAAGTCAGACTAGTACAACCAGAGAGCTTTGTCTGAGAGGAGCATGGGAGTTGCACATCATTGGCTGGGTCACATACAGTCATGCAGCCAGAGACGTACAATTATTAGGTTTCTGGTGTTTTTAGGGGATTGCACAGCTGTGCCACAAACACTGAACATGGCCCAAATCAGATTGATTTTTTTCACTGCCTCTTCTCCCTTCTGTCTTCCCCTTCATCCTGTCTGGTAACTCCACTTTCCATCCCCAGTTTCCACCCACCACATTTGACCTAAGTGCCAATAGAGGAGTGAGGACTGTCGGTCACCCGTTCTGTCCTGCTCCTGGCTCTTCTCTAACCACCACGATGAAACCAGGAGGTATGTTCAAGATGCTCTCAGGGGGATCGCCCATGTTGCCACATCTGTAGCCTCCACACTTCCTTTGCCATAGGAAGTGTGAGCCTGCCTGCGGTCTTCTAGTTTTCCTGTTCTTCAGTGACCTGGGCAAAATGTCTGCCTCTCTGGGAAGAGGTATGAAATGCAAGTTACCAAGATAATGCAGTCCCAGGCTCCAGCCCTAAATGTCCTTCATTAACAAAAGTTGCCTTGAATTTCAGGTCTGGGGATTTGACTGTGCTGAGGTCTCAGAGCAACTCATTTGCTAACCTGCTGTTGTTTCCTCTTTAGGGAATTCCCAATGAAAGCTGGAGGTTGACCAAGATTAATGAGCGCTATGAGCTGTGTGATACGTACCCCGCGATTCTAGCTGTGCCCGTAAACATTCCCGATGAAGAATTAAAGAGAGTAGCATCTTTCAGATCAAGAGGACGCATACCAGTGAGTGTGACAAAGGAAGCCACTTTGATGTGGTGTTGTTACATACCTTTGGGCTATAAATAATACCGAGGTCAGGCTGAGTGGATTCCAGGGAGCAAATAAATGGTCAATGGATAATAAAAGTGACAGCAACATGTTTGAGGAGTTAGAAAGCAACATTATCTGCTGGAACTACTGTTGTGAAAGAGATGTAGACTAAACCAAAATGATAAGATAAGATAACTTAGCACAACCCAGACCAAATCTCGGTTCAGTTCCTGGGAAACACAAAGCAGCCCTATTTGGTTGTTTACAATTGTCTGGCCTACTCCAGCTTTCAGGATGGAGGAATACTTAGTGAAAATGCTTATTAAATGACATTAAGACAAAACACATTGTTATGATTATTTCAGCGCTAACTGAAAATGTACTGGTTTACTTCTCAAGCCTATAGAAAATTACATCTGTTCCTAAAGTGCTTAACTTTTACATGGTGTAACATGGAGTAAGACACCGCCCAATGACTGCAGAGCAAGAAAGTCTGTTTGTGACTCACACAACAGTGAGAAAAGCAGTCTGCATCATATTTAAAAGTCAGACTTAAACCTCTTCAGTCACTTCTTGTTTGTTCAAACTTTGGGAATGCCACCAGAATGAATGAGTAAGGACAGAAGAATTCTTTGTTTCATTCAGTCCTGATTTAATAGAATCCAGTCTTCTGGAACCAGCTAATACATGGCAGGATCCCAGCACAAACCATTACAGGTAAAACACTTCACTGGTTTAATGAATCCCATTTTTCCTTCATTTCTTTCTCTTTTGTTTCTGAAGGTATTGTCATGGATTCATCCAGAGAGTCAAGCAACGATCACTCGCTGTAGCCAGCCAATGGTGGGAGTGAGTGGCAAACGAAGCAAGGAGGATGAAAAGTACCTTCAAGCCATCATGGATTCTAATGCTCAGTCCCATAAAATCTTCATATTCGATGCAAGGCCTAGTGTGAATGCTGTAGCCAATAAGGTCAGGTCCTTTTTCCTCTGTCAAGAGCTGGGAACGTAATCATTTAGAGCACATTTCCCACCACCATTTCAAATTATTCCTTTTCTACTATGAAGAGATCCATATGCAATGATCTGATTCTCTAGACAGACTTTACACCTGCGCTGGTATCAGTAGATATCAGTGTGACTATGAAAGGCCCATTTGGATTAATCCACAACTTGAAATGAGATTGAAAGGAAAAAAATCATAGTACTGAGGTCAAAGTCTGGCACCCTGGATCTTGTGTATCACTGTTTTTCACTTCATGTGGTTGAATGACTGCTTCCTCTAACAGCACCAGAACTCTGTCCCTCTTAACCCTGATGGGAGCTGAGGTTACTCAGCACTGCCGAAATTCAGGCATCATGATCTTTAATTTCAAAATATAAGCTGGGGATCTTTAATGTCTAGGAATGTGGCTGTGTTCTTCCTGCTGTTCTGTCTCATGCCATCACTCTAAGCCCTGTTTTAGTAGTAGAACTGCTTTGTTGCACTAAAGCTGATTTTTTTTTTTTTTTTCAATCTGTCTTTCCCGCTACTTGGGAAAGGCAATTAGTGTGTGGGATATACTCCTCTGTAATAGTATGGTAAATTTGTAAATGACAGAATAGTGAATCTAATGAGCTAGCAGCTTGAATGGGGATAAACGATAATTACAGAGAAAAAGAAGGCTTGTAATGTGATATTCTTTGGTAAAAATTATAGCATTCATTACTATTGCAAGAAAGAGACACAAAGTGTGTGCGTGTACATGTTTGTTCCCAATTGTAAGCTAAATCCAATGTTTTCTGCCTACTTTAGATAGTACAATCACTGTCGTATTTTGTCAGCTGATATTTGCTCAGGACAAATGATGGGGATAAAATATAAAATACGTTTTTGCTTAATGATTTTTATGTGGATTTTGTTCTTCAGGCTAAAGGAGGGGGCTATGAGAGTGAGGATGCCTATCAGAATGCAGAATTAGTGTTCCTGGACATTCACAATATTCATGTTATGAGAGAATCGCTGAGAAAACTGAAAGAAATTGTGTATCCAAATATCGAGGAGACTCACTGGCTGTCTAATTTAGAGTCAACTCACTGGCTCGAGCATATCAAGGTACGCATGTCTGCACCCACTGCATGTGGCTGAGTAACCACAAGTCAGTACCAGCCTGTTCACTGGGAAATGTATCCAGAACTGACTCTAGTGCTGGATTTTGAATTCATGAGAAATTTAAAGACTTACAAATTGGTTTCAATTTAAAAACAACTAAAACCACAGTTTCTTGGAATGGGGAATTTTGAGGAGATGGGAAGAGGAACAAGAGAGGGGGTTGAAATACTGAAAGATGGTTTGGTTTTGGAAGTGAAGTGTATTCCTGGGTGTCGTGGTTTAACCCCAGCCGGTAACTGAGCACCAGGCAGCTGCTCGCTCAGCCCTCCCTGCCCAAGGGCATGGGGACAAGAATGGAGAAAACCCCAGAAAACTCATGGGTTGAGATAAAGACAGTTAAATAGGATGACGAAGGAAGATTATAATAATGATGATGATATATATATATAAAACAAGTGATGCACAAATGCAATTGCTCACCACCTGCAAAAAAAACCAACTTGATGCCCAGTCTGTTTCCGAGCAGTGAATTTTCCTCCTGGCTAGTTTCCCAGTTATATCCGGAGCATGACCTTCTGTGGTGGGGAATATCCCCTTGGCCACGCTGGGCCAGCTGTCCTGGCTGTGCTCTCCCAGCTTCTTGTGCACCTGGTAGGGCGTGAGAAGCTGAAAAGTCATTGACTGAGTGTAGACACTACAACTACCCAGCGACAACTAAAACCATTGGTGTGTTATCAACATTATTCTCATACTAAATCCAAACCACAGGACTATACTAGCTACTAAAAAGAAAATTAACTCTATCTCAGCCGAAACCAGGACACTGGGTCATGCATAACATGAAAGCCCTGGTAAAAGCATAGGAGTCCCAGAGTTTCCAAGCTCTTGACGTGGGGATCCTCGACATCCTGGCATTACTGTGTGGTCCAGACCAGCAAATGTTGGGAGTTGGTGGCCCATCAGCCTTTCAGGAATCCAAGCAGAATTGGAACAAGTGGGGCAAAATCCTTCAAATGTTGGTTTTCAGATTAAGCTCTTTCTTTCCTAAAAACATCCAGCTCTCATTGTCTGCCTGCTAACGCAGAAAGGGGCAGTTGCAAGGTGATGGCCATTTTGTGTTCGTGTTCAGACATAGAATGCTCCTGTGTTTAAATCCTGGGCTGTCCAAAGACTGAGCTTAATGCAGAGGCTCTTGCAGAGTTGTGCCTATGCTACAGTTTAGATGTGTTGTCATCTTGCTGGAACAAAATACATGTTCTCCAGTTTGCTGTCCTATTATAACGTAGTTGGAACTGATTTCCCATTCTCCTTGAGGCAGGCAGAGCCCTTGGTTTGTCCTGTGTTGTCACTAGCCATTTTTCATTTGTAGTTTCTGTTCCAAAGAGATTTTGTAACTTTTTTTTTGTCCCAGCTCATTCTTGCTGGAGCTCTTCGGATCGCCGACAAGGTGGAATCGGGGAAGACGTCTGTGGTTGTACACTGCAGCGATGGCTGGGACCGGACGGCCCAGCTCACCTCTCTCTCTCTGCTCATGTTAGATGGCTACTACCGAACTATCAGGGGCTTTGAAGTGCTAGTGGAGAAGGAGTGGCTGAGCTTCGGCCACAGATTTCAGCTGGTGAGTCACTAGCCCTTGGAAGGCACTGGATAGAAAGTTATTGTCCACCTTGAAGGATTTCAAAGGAGTTTAGCCTTTCCTGTGAGGAGTCCCCAGCTGAACTCACAGAAGAAAGGTGAATTCTGCTGCTATTGTTTTCTGCCTCCAATTCCAATCATCTCTTAACCTCCTTGGAGACAGTATTGCTAGATACAAGGAAGGGATGGTATTAAATCTCTCAGGTGCCTGACTGATATGTTGTGTTCCCATGCTTAGGCTTAAACTAACAGAGTGCTTTGGGTTCAGGATAGGCATTTCTGCTGGGAGTTGGCAGAGACCACTGGGGTATTTCTTGTTTTTCCAGCTCAGTCCATTTTCTGAGACTGCTTGGACACTGTCATCTAAGAAATGCTGTGGTATTGAAGAGGCAGCAATTTGGTTATGGGCTTGACCTCATATTTTCTTCAGGCACATTTTATTTGGGGGAGGCTTCTAATTGTTTAGCTAAAAGATCAGGAGTTTGAGACTGGACCAAGAATAGCTTGTGGTTGTGCCCCTAGGGTTGGCAGAGAGGCAACTTTGTGGACTTGTGACACATTATTGAGAGAGCCTTTCAGTAGCATCCTTTCAGTCTTTGTTCCCGTTGTGTTTTGCTCATAGCTGTTCTCTTGTGGTCGTTCAGTTTTGGCAAGGGCTAGAACGAGGTCTGTTTACAGCACATGTGATGGTGGGTTGCATAGTCAAATGCAAGGTGGGGAAACTGAGGCACTAAGCAACTGAGGTTCTGCTGCAGCAAAACTGTTAACTGGTGTTTGAACTATGAGGATTTTAGCTTCCCTGTCTGTTCAAAGAAGATAATGATATTGATTTCCTTTGGTGAGGGGAGAACAGAATTACAGAAGCAGTATGGATCTCTGTTACTTATATGTTTTTGTTCTGTCTTTGTATGGTACTTAGGGCTCTGAGTAATATATAACCAGTAACGTACTATACTAGTTATAAGGAATCAGGCCTCACGTGTTTTATCCAAGGCCACACAGCATGGTCAGGGCTGGAGGCCTAGTGCAGGGGATGCTTTCATCACTGCCTCTCTTGAGGTGGCAGGAGACGGGCTGGGTTAGTGTTTGTACAGCGCTTGGAAGCTGAGAGGTGTTGTGTGACGGTTATCGCCACATGCCGTGCCTGTAGGTAGTGCTTAGATCTAGCACACTGTACTACTGAAGTAGCCAGGATGACAGCTGCAACTGAAGCAAAAAGCATTCTCATTTTTTTTCCTTCTGAACTTTAGCTATTAACTGAAATCGGTGCCAGCATAGCATCTGGAGCCTCTACTCAAACAACTCTTGTTTTAATTTAGCATGAAAATATCCCCATAAAGAAATTTCATTTCAAAGACAAAGGGAGTACCTATCCTTTACCCCTTTACCAACTGATGTGGACAAAGCAAAATCAGGACTTATTTGAACTTTCTTGTAGCTCTTGGTAAAGGCTTAGGTGACTGAGCGGAGACCCCAGCAGTTTCTCCATGAAGGCCCATGTGACTCATGTTCTTTGTCCTGCTCTGTTTCAGAGGGTTGGCCATGGAGATAAGAATCACGCAGACGCGGATCGCTCTCCTGTGTTCCTCCAGTTCATCGACTGTGTCTGGCAGATGACAAGACAGGTAAATTGCTGGCTGGCACATGTGTCCACAAAGCCACTGTACCCAGACATGGCGCAGTGTCTGGCCACAGGAGTAATTTCCAAGCTGACCTGCACAGGCTCTTTCCTGGGCTTCTACTCTTATTTTGACTCTGGCAACAAGTTTCTTGGGGGTCTGTTCATCAAGGGGCCTGAATGCACAAGTGCACAGGAAGGCCACGATGTCAGCTTGCATCAGATTGACTGGTTAGCAAGTGCTGCTTACCTACATGCTGCTGTAATAAATGTGAGCTTGTGAGAAGAAGCTTGCCTCGCCCTGAAATAGGAGACAGCTGCCTCACCTTTATCATGGGCAGGAACAGACAGCCCAGCCATCCTCACTGTGCCTTCAGAAGCATAAGTGACTTGAGCTGCTAATGTAATTCTCTAGCGTGGTGGGTGCAGGCAGATCCCTGTTGCCTCTGCTCAAGCTGATGGCGTAACCAAACCTGCAGGAAGACATCCATTTGCTCCTTTTTAACTTCTTCTGAAGGCAAACATACTGCTCCTGGTTCATACGTGACGTACAGAGCTGAGTCCCTCACTTCAGACCAGGCATGGCAGAGGCACAGTTCAGGAGAGATCCCCTATGGTTGGGAGGTTTTTCCCCAGGTGTGTGGGACCCAGAAGGTTTTTAGTGTCTGCTGTGACACAAAATGTGTCACATGGCAAATATCAGGCACTGAAAAAATTAGGCTCATGATGGATTAAAACAGGTGAAATGGAAAAGAAGGATACCAGTATATACGAAGCTGTACCGTATTCAAGTAAGGAAAGAAGGAGCCTTTACCATCATCAAAAGTCACTTTCATCATGCTCTCCTTGGATTGCTCCTACAAGCAGGCATCCTGACCTGAGCTGGTGAGGTCAAGATGTTGCAACTGGGGCAGCCTGGGAAGAGAAGGGTGGTTTGTGAGGGAGGAAGGCCTCCTGCTCACCTCTCCATTGCCCCAGCAGTTCACTGCATGTATTCTTATTGACCCTTTGTGGAGTTTCAGTTCTCCTTGTCTTGGGTCTGATTGTTTCTGTATGGAACAGCAACAGCAACCACAGGCCCTGTCCCTCCTGCTGACCTGCGTTGCACGATGCCTCCCCGCTGTTCCCTCTGGGAAGTGCTGTGTTACACAGGCTATTTCCATTTGGCCCTGGGACATTTCCATTTCTTTTTATGCATTATTTCACATACACTTCGGCCTTTTGTTCACAGTCTTGTTGCATGGTCTGTTATGAGGGGCAGGGATAGCAGAGCAAGCTTCCACTTGAAGGAGCACTGAGTGCATATAAAAACAGCGGTCAAACCCTTCAGACCTCTGGCTTTTGTTCAAAATTCCTCTCTGCATGTATAAAGCAGCTTTCCAAGAGAGAAACTCTTGCTCCTGGAAGGAGAAAATATGATCCTGAATATTCCGCCAGGCAAAGAACAGACAAATCCTGGTTTAGAAATAAAGAAGAGAGGCCAGCTCCTTACCAAGACCACAGAGTAGGAGAAAGTTTATTTGCGTTTCCTGTTCTAAAATCCCAACCTAATTTTCTGGTTCTGTCTGAAGTTTCCTACAGCATTTGAGTTCAACGAGTATTTCCTGATAACCATCCTGGATCACCTGTACAGCTGTTTGTTTGGGACATTCCTGTGCAGCAGTGAGCAGCAGAGAGTGAAGGAGGTAAGACGACAGCTTCTCTCCGAGGCTAGGGCATGGTGCTGTGATTGCTTTAGCTGGCCAGATATTGCTAGAGACATTGTTTCAGCACTCAGACAGTGGTAGATACAGGTCTGGGTAATGCCAAGCCCTCTCCTTAACAGCTTAAACAGATGTCTGGTGGAGACTTTACATTTCAGAGCAGTATCATTCACTCGACAGCCCCACTGCTTCCAGCGTGGCTTTTGGCTACTCACTGGTGGCTGAATGGCTCCTAGTGTCTCCCGAGTAGTTGGAAATATAATTTTTCTTTGAATTCTAGTTCAATGTAATATTCTGTGTGGAAACTGGTGCCTTTTTGCCCTCCCTTTTCCTTGCAGTGGGCCTGTTAGGTTGGTTGATTTTAACTACCAACTGTGTATTATCATTCTGCACACATAGATTACAGCAAGTCACTGGTCTCAACGTGTCCTTGCCGTGCTTGCATTTTTCTGAGAGAGGACAGAGCTGCTGGTATTAGGAAGGACGTGCCTCGAGGTCCTGCCACTGGCCAGCTCTGCCCTGCGGTCTGGGGGAGGTTTGTTTGCCAAGGGAGGAGTGTATAGACGTGTACATTCAGCCCATGCAAACACTACCCTATTCAGACCCCATCTGGAAGCAGAAGGAAAAGCAGTGATGCTCTTCTGTCTAACCTACCTAAAGATGAAGCATTTTGTCACCAACACATTGCAGCCTAACATCACAGAGGTACATTGAGGACAGTGCTGTGTAGATCTGGTGTGATTATATTTGACAGCACATCACTTAAAAAATAAAAATAAAAAAATATTACTGTCATACAGAAGTGATGACATTACGCTGCAGTGTAATCAGGGTCCCTGTTTCTCTAGGGTCCACAGTGATTGAATAATTGTAATTTCCAGAGAAGAAAACCTGTCTGCTGTTTGCATGTGGGTTTTGGGAGGGTTTTTTTAAGGTCTCGGCCTAGTGAAGTACTTAATCTAGAAAGCACTTCAACACTGGTTTCACTGGGGCTATTCACAGGCCTGATTATTCCACTAGATCAGGGCCTAAGTCAAATCTTTTCTTGTTTTTGTTTTTTGCAATTGAATACTCCAGCAAGTCCTCCAGGAGCTCTTTAAAGAGGAAAGTTTAACTAAAGCATTGAGAGTCCACACGCCAGCGTCCCCTTGCTGTGCCGATGGTCATGTTGGCAGCTGGGTGGCTAAGGGGATGTTTCCGTGCCAGGGTACGCGTGTGCCCGCCTGCATCCCTGTGCTTCGATTACAACAACCACATCAGAAGAACGGTGGAGTTTTTTAAGCTACTAAAAGGCAACCAGCTCTGCATTACTGACAGGCATACGTATATGCTGCTATAAATACTTTGTAGATAAATGCTGGGATTCATATGGGAAATAAAGCCTCCTCTACCCCCTTCCCTCACAGAGCCTTCCAAAAAAGACCGTGTCGCTTTGGTCTTACATCAACAGCCAACTGGAAGACTTTACTAACCCCTTGTACGTGAGCTACTCCAACCACGTCCTGTATCCCGTGGCCAGCATGCGCCACCTCGAGCTGTGGGTCGGCTACTACATCCGCTGGAACCCCAGAATGAAACCACAGGTACGTCTCTTCCAAGGATCCTACTTTGATTTCCCTCCTCACTAGTACTAACACACTCATTTTGGAGTTCAAGACCTTTGAAGTAATGTACAAACTTAAGCTGCCACTGCTTAAATCAAAACCCAAAAGCCTAAATTCAAGTGCAGGGGTCCAACCTGTTACACTCTTGAACCCTGAGGGCAGGGAAAGCAGCTTGCCCAGGGCAGGCACCTGAGGCAGACAGTCCCAACGTGACCCTCAACACCAAAATCACTTTAATAGGAAGGGACAAAAATTCCTGGATTGCCTCAATGTCCAACTGCAGTTAACAGCTTTGCAAATCTGGGGCATTAGATACAGGAACCCAACAAATGCTTTTCAGTGCTGTTTGACAGCCAGAACTACGTGCAAATATTTAGATAAATCTGTGGATTTTTTCCTCGCAAAGCCCTGAAATTAGGGCCAGGCTGAGACGCCAAGGGCAGTATCCCCTAGAAACGTCCAAGATCAGAGTTCTGTAATTGTCATGTTTCAAAATAGACACCAAGTTTTGTTTAACCACCGCTGCACTGTGCGTGTTGGATAAAATGAGTATCCCAAAGCCAGAGCAACTACTCGCTTACCCCTGGGCTGGAGACAGTGACATAACCCACCTACCACCCCACTCCCTCATAGCTGCACATAAGGTCAGTGGCAGCGTTTTGTGGTGCAGGCTTACCCTTCCGTGCTTACCTCAGCACTCAGCTACGCGTTTCCCTGCAGGAACCCGTCCACAATCGCTACAAGGAGCTTCTGGCCAAGCGGGCTGAGCTGCAGAAGAAAGTGGAGGAATTGCAGAGAGAAATCACCAACCGTTCCACCTCATCCTCGGAGAGAGCTGGCTCTCCCGCACAGTGCGTCGCTCCTGTACAGACAGTTGTATAATACGGACTTCTTTTGCTGAGTATCTTCCCAAGATCACAGGGGCAGCTTTTCTGAAACTCTCTGGATTTCCAGTGTGGTGTCTGGGAGATGCCAACCTATTTATTTATTTCTCTCCAGGGTAATTTATTAGTACTGTAGCACTAGAGGAAGCTTAAGCAAAAACAAACAAACAAAGCCCCCTATGCAATTAACCTTCTCAGTGGCTAGATTGTAATACAAGCTCACTGCACTTGCCACCTAAAAGAAAAGAAACCTACAGCTCGCTCTTTGTTCCCTTATCTGCTGGAAGTCACTTGGCTTTAAAGAGAGACCATGCACTAGAATGAAGTACTGTGGAGGAAAAACATCTACTCAGAAGTTTGGAAAATCTGCCCTTTGCTAAAAGGAAAAACTGACTCTGACTTAGTGGAGCCTAGAACAGAGCTGTGAAGTCATGAAACCCTCCGCTATTAATGTCTGCAGAGCAGTGTTAATGAGAGCATTTGCCAACGTACTCAGAGATACGCAGCAACAGAATCTGAAAATGTATCGCCTTCTCGCTTTTCCTTTCACTTTGCTCTAGGTCATAGGAAGCCATGTAAATGATGCCTTATTTGAGGAAAGGGCAGCTTCTACCAACAAAACACGGTGGTAGAGAAGCAACCTACACAACTTTGTAGGACAAAGTTTACTCCGATCTCTGCAACTTTATAGAGCCTCACTTACTTACAGTTTACACTGAGTGTGCCAGGATGCAACTTAAGCACCTTTGTTTCCGAGGGGGGGAGCAGAGCGTGGCTCCCCTGGCTGCCCGCAGCCCCTCCATCCTCCAGTGCCTCATGCTCACCAGGGAAAGGGAGTGGAATACTGAGGGGCACGCATGAACTGCTGGCATCAGTCATTGCATTCTGCTTGGGTAACTGTAATTAGTGACTTCAATACTTCTGTGCAGGATCATAGTGGTGTACTTAAGGTATTTCAGTTTTCTGTTAACTAACGAACAGAAGCAACTATCGACCAAAGAAGCCTTTCTGCCTGCATTGCAACTGCTACTGAAGGTTGTTCTGGCAGACTCAACAGCTTAGCCAGTTTCTGAGCCCCAACTTTAGGTCTTCTTCCTCACAGCGTACTTCAATAATTAACATCACTTGGCTAAACTTAAGTCATATTCAATTTTAATACAAAATTTTACTGTAGAAGTGGAAATAAAAACACACTTGGTGAAAGCATGACTGCCCCGTGGCTCTTCCAAACAGATCAGTATGGGGTTGTAGGAGACAGGGCTTACAGCAAAGGAAGTTATGTGTGTGCAAGGTCTTTATTCCAGGCTGGTTCCCCTCTGCCCTGAGGAAGGGGGCACTGCTTGCTCTGAGTTCCTGTGTTGCTGTTTTATGACAGGATCGCAGTGTGCTCACCTGTTAGTACCCCCATCAGCACGCTGCTGCACGTGGCCTCTTATCCACCATAGAGAAGTATTTTCTGAGAGAGGACCAGAGTGCACCCATTTACGCATTAGGAATTACCTTACGAAAGCTTGCATTCCTTCCAAGGCAGTAACCCCACTGTCCCCCCGCTGTCTCCATTTCTGCCTGCTCTGCCACAGCATTTTCAGAGAAATCTACAGCCACCTCCTGACAGAATGAGTAACAGGCTGTACAGCGACTGCATTTGTTACAGGGTGGCCTGAGACCCTGGGGGTCAACAGTGCAAAGAATCCACACAAAATACCTTCTGGACTGGGATTCGCTTTAAGGTTAAAGAGCAGATCTGCTCTTACATACAATCACTATGTAAGATGGTTCATAATATTATTCTCTATTAGCAAACTGACTATGTGTGTATATTTTGTTTCTTGATGAAAGCTGTTTGGTCTCCTTAACACTAATAAAAAATGGATAAGTGGCTAAAGTTTCTGTGCTCTTATTTTCAACTACGTGGTTCTCGCAAACTGACTATGTGTGTATATTTTGTTTCTTGATGAAAGCTGTTTGGTCTCCTTAACACTAATAAAAATGGATAAGTGGGTAAAGTTTCTGTGCTCTTATTTTCAACTATGTGGTTCTCCAAAGGACGTGTAGGACATGCAAACATGAATAACATAGCACTGAAAATTGAGTATGTAGAATCCAAATCTCTCATTCTTCTGCAGAGGGTCTTGCAAAATGCTAATCATGTTCAAACTCTGAATTTTAGAATGACAGGAAAACAAAATTCACATTTAGACAAGTTTCTCTTGCCCTATACAGACCAGTATTACCACAGATACAGTGCTTAGCTGCTCAATATTACAAAAATACTTTCACAATTAAAGAAAAAAACAGTTTCTGCACTTTACAGTGCATCAGCACAGTAACTTCTGTGTAAAAGGAGGCTTCACATTTTTCTACGTATGTAACTCATGTTAAGCCCAAATTCACTGGGATGATTTGGGATGAACTCAACGCCTGCTCCAGCTCCTTGAAACTCCTGCCCCTGGTAGGCTTAATTCCACCTTGGGCACCTCACTCCTTGTGTGCAGCAGGCATGGAGCCTGAAGTACTCCTAAGCTTCCGTCATTAGGGAGCTGCGTCCAGCAGTGCTGAAGTTATCCTGTCATTGAGCAAGCCAATCCTGAGATCCTTCCAAAGGAAAGTTACCAATCCCAAGATCCTTCCAAAGGAAAGTTACTGAGTGCAGCTTCAGCTACTGATCTTTAGGAACCTCTGGGGTGAGTCGCTCTCCAAGTGGTAACTCCAGCTACCTGGAGCCCACGTCTCTAACAACGGAGATGGCTCTAGGGGTGGTTAACAGCTTCTGACTTCCCCCCCAGCTAAAACCTCTGTGCCCCAGGGCAAGGAGGGTGGATCACCTACAGATAATTAAAGCTGAAATCCCTTCTGCCTGCACTGACCCTACAGTCCCTGCCCCTTAGTGCCAGGCAAGGGTAGACAACTCAGAGCCTCACCTTACCCCCTCGTATTCATCACCCCCGCAGGGAGGCGTCCATCACCACAAAAAGCACACTGGATGGGGCACGGTGCTGCAGCAACCACTGAGGTAAGTCAGAGGAAGTGCAGCTTTCCCACTATTCATTCAGCAGGCAAGCTGGCATTATTTTTCAACTGTATAAACAGATAATCTCAGTCTTCTGTACATTCCATTAATAGGAAATTCTTTACATTATTAACATAATAAATAACATTTACTCAGCTGTGCAAGTCAAGAGTGCAAAATGAATTGCACCACTACCAAAGTAGATAGCTCATCAAAGCCCATATTTCACGTTAAAAGCAAGATGCCAGGACTGAAGGGCATGATTGGGGCACTTGCAGTTTAAAACCCTTGTGGTTTATCTCACTCCTTTACCACCCACAGCTGTGGACTAGGAGATGGGACACTGTCCCCTATCCTATAGCTTTCTCATAAAGCAGGATTGCTGTAGAAAAATTTCACTCTTCAGACTTGAAAAGAATTCAATCATTATGCAAAATAATACAGAAAAGTTATTTTGCTCCTTTTCCAAGTACTCAAGCATCCACTGCCATCAATGCTGACCAATGCAATGCAACAGGACAAGAACTAGGAAGGGTTTTTGAGGAACTCCATTGAACACCTTTAATGTCGTACCAGGGTCACATGTTCTGCCTTGGACACTCAGCGTTTGAGTTGTTGCAGCTGCACACAGAACAGAACTGACAGAAGCCCTGAAGACTTCGGTTCACTGCATCATTTTCAAACAAGATGCATCTTGAGAAGCCTCCCAACGCACAGTTCAACAACAGCGTGAAATTGCACTGGCATTTCACACACGCCAACCCACTGAAGTGTGCGGTGCTCAGAAAAAGGAGGGACTGCTGGAACCACCAGACGAAAGGAACTGATGGAGACCTATGGTTACGTTCAGTGGCTGGGTACCTTAAAAGTGGAATGTGTTTTAAACTAGACCATAATATATACAATCAAACCCAGGGATGGAGAATTAAGGGCCCATATTTCAAAAGTGCACAGTAGTCTCTTTCACATAGCAAGAAAGGCAGCTGCTTTATATCCAGAATGTGATGAAGTTTGACCGGGATGGTATCACGAACTTCTCCTGCAGAACAGTCAGTAGTCCCAGCTGACATCATCTTTCTGTAGCGAAGTCTGTATGGTCTGCATGTCTCTCAACAACTGAAGATTTTTCCTACTCTTCTCTCCAGGTTTCACTTTGATGGGACCAGCATTCTTCCCTTTTGTGGTTACTGTAGTTGTTACTTTAACCTCACTAACAGGGAACTTGCTGTCTTTTATTTGTTTAGCAGAAGTCTTTTTGGACTTGCATTCTCGCTTAAGTCTCTCTAGCTGAAAAAAAACCCAAAAGAAAAACTAAGCCGTGACCTAGTTTCAGTTTATGTTGCGCAATTCTCCCAGACAGCTGAAATATCCCACCACTCATCCCACCCAGCTAAGCAAACGGATGCTCCAAAATCACCCTGAATAATAAATATTTTCCTTACACAGCATTGCTACTTTAGCATCTTCAGCTTATAGTCTGAACCACTAGGTTATCCCTTTAAAGACTGACATGTTGATTATGGGGGAATATCTCCATCATGAAAATAATAGAAAAGGTTAGGTATGCCAAAGAGTTGATTTGTCACAGTTACCATCCAGTGATTAAAACAAAACCCAAACAAAGAAAAACCAAAGTTTTGGTACATATATACACTAGTGATTTTAATAGCCAGTCACTGTCAGAGCTGTAGCTTTCAGAATAATTCAGGTGTGGTGCTCCCTCCTCCTAGTTTCTAGCACACAGCAATTTCCTGAAATGCTAACTCCTAATATTTTGTCAACAGCTAGTGAAAGCCTTGGTATACGCAGAATCATCACTACTGGGAACTACTGCACATCTGTTTCTCTGCAACAGTTCCTCTGAATCTCATAAGAGATCAAAGGTGAGTAATGCTTCTGTTTGAAAACGTTTCATGTGTCCATTTTGGATGCCAGCAGCAGCGCTCTCAGTACATTGTTTGTATTACAGTTACATCAGATGAGGGTGAATCTTGGGTCATATGAACTGAACCAGAATAAACATATGGGTTTAAGTTCTCTGGAATAATTTCACTAAAACAAATGAAGATTAGAAAAAGAAGGGAAGCAATAGGTTTTATAGCTTTGAATGAACAGGCTACACTAAAACTACTTTCAAAATGTTTTGAATAAACTGAAACAGATATTTCAAGGTTTTATAAAATGCAAATCAAAACACAAATAGGTCATTTACTCCAAGCAAAGGAGAACTGTTAAAAGATTCAGCTCAGTAGTGAACGCTCCTGGGAATCTAGGTCTCTCTAAATACAGTTTAGGTTACTCTAAGCTCAATGTGAAGAACAGGATTTCAGGAGGGCTTTCCCCCACTACCTGTGCAGCTGGGTGTCACGAGGGACCTCACACAAAGCAGTTGCTTTGGTTCAGCACAGCCATTTGACACACGCCAGGAGCGAGTGTGACTGATCAGGACACAGGTATTGCCTGACACATCAGACATCCCACCAGAAATATCTCCCCAACAGACCGCTGGGGCCCAGGAAGTAGACTCACACCCTTCAGCTTTATATGCTCTTTCTCATCTTGTGTATTGCCAAATTGTGTGTTTACAGAATTCACCAGCTGTGGGATTTGCTATAGTGGACAATTTGCTATAGTGGACAATATGATATATTGATATATTTGATATAGTGGACAATTGTTTCCCTGTTTTGGGGATGAGATGAGTGTAAAATGCAATGCAAAAACAGATGTGAAAGCTCTGCCCAGGACAGGATGAAGAGAGGGCACAAGGGTGACATGGTAAGACAAAGTATACTCCTGCAGAAATACTGGGATAGAGAGATGGAGGTATGCAGACTAACTTTGGGACATCAAAGCTAAACCTAAGCGCTCCTGCTCTACAGTAGTTATTTCTGCTTTATTCAACTGCTGCTAGATTAGGATATAATGCAAAAAACCCCTGAAGATAGAAACTCTACAGAAGCATGAACACAGCCAAAAGTAACTCACCTGCAACCAATGCCTCCGGACTTTGCTAATCTGGTCTGCCTTTGCTTCCATCTTTCCCACCAGTGCCTCAAGTTCCCTCTCCAGATCTTCCCTCACTGCAATGGTTGGGGCTTCCTGGACAAGCTTTGACAGCTGCTGGTGATCACTAGCATGGAATTCAGACAGAATAAAGCTTGCATCAGACTCCCTTGGCTTCTAGTGCTTGTACATCCAGTTCAGAAATAACACTTCTAGGAAACCATAGCATCAGCAGCCAGACATGTTCAACATGCCGTAACAAACCAGTAAGAAAAGTTTTGCTGGTTAGCAGCATCATTACAGTAGCACATCCTGGTGGCAGGCTGCTGCAACGTTAAGTCTCAAAGTAGCTTCGCACATTCAAAACGACCACACAACCCCACGAGAGCATGATCCCAGCATTCATTCAGTTGTTGTTTTGCGTCTCTATCTACTGCAGTTGTGCAGTAGGACAACAATTCACGTTCTGTTAACAAGCAAAATGACTAGTAAAGCTGTCCTTTAATGGCGTATTTGTCCATTGCATCACGGACTGCTACCACACTTCTCCCCAAGCCCTCACAAATTTGAAGGCTTGCATATATGAAAACATATATGCAGTCCAGATTGTTTATCGAAATTTATTTTTAACTGTAAAAATAAATGACAGCCTCCACATCTAGTAGAACAGACAGATTATATGCCACTGAGTTCTCAAAACTAAATCCCTTCTCAGGAAAAACCTCCCAACTTTAAAGCAAAAGGCAAAAATATAAAGCATCTACGTTTATAATCTGCAATGGAGAATACAACAAACTCACAAACTCATCTGCCCAAATTCATCTTGTAAAGTCAGCAGCACTTCCGAGAGCTCTTCCCGGGATGAAGAAGATTCCTTTGGCAGAGATGACTTTCTGCTTTTGCTGGCAGGATGATCAGTACTGACAGATTTTGCTAGTGGAGTATCATTTACCACACGACTGTTACACAAAGCTTTCGTGTGCTGTTTCATCAGGTGTAGGACATGTTGCACGTTGGCACCAACTGAGTGACTGGGACTGGTAGACTGGAAGTAAAAGAGACTTCTTTTAAATGGCATTGTCAGCAACCTACTTGATAATAAGGAGGAACATTTAAAAACAATAACATTTTTTATTTGCTGCCAAGAATGTATTTTTGTTTGAATGAATATGCGCTAACAAGAACAACTTGACCAGCAGCATCGAGAAGATCCATTTTTAGAAATGCCAATTTAAAAGCCTTGTTGAATATTGATAACTTGCTGAAGACAAACTTGGAAGAAAAGAGTCTAAGAAAATTAAATTATGTGACCACTGGGTGTCAGGAGCGCACCAAGCCAAAGCCACTTAAGGAGCTGCAGCTACTGAGCGTTAAGCTTTGGAATTAAGCAGCTCACCTTCCCTGCTACAAAGGGCACATCACCCAGACACAGTCTGTAATGGGGCTGCGTAGTGAGATGGCTTGTAAGAGAGCATTTCTGGAAGGAAAGAAGAGAGAAATGTTTATCAAAGATGGCACTACAACAAACCCATTTTCCCTTTGCTTTGCAATAAGAGGTGACCTACCTTCCTGATTGCATGCACACACCCTTATTTAACTCCTCAGTAACTGCCCTTCTCTTCCCCCCATGTTACCTTCTCTGGCTGTTTACTTTTCTTTCTGGGTCTTCTTGCTTTTGGAGAAAGCAACGGTGATGCTGCTTGAATCAGTAGTCTGTTGGTTTCCAGGCCTGTCTGAAGCTTTAATTAAGGAAATAATGGGAGTTACTGGAATTATATTAATTAGATAGTCAAACACAGAGTAAGCTGAGAATTGCAAACCAACAATTTTTAAAATACAGGCTCTCTGAAAGCAAGGGCTGCAAGCTTTTATGACGCTTCTGCAGTCCAAGGTCAATTTAAACTTAAACGAAGAATAATTCCTCTGGTAGCACTACTCATCACTAATCCTAGTATGTTACAGAATTAGTCTTACTACATTGCTCCGATCCTGGCAAGGGCCAAAACATCAGCTGTGCTTTACCCCTGACAAAGTATTAGGGAAATCAAGCCACCCAACCCTACTCAACTGATCCTGTAGCATGTAGTTAACAACTATTCCCTTCTATTCTTTTAAAGCTGACAGTAAAAAAACCCCACAACCAAACCATCTATTGGAAGAGTTAAGGTTAGGATCCTTACTGCCAACAGGGAGCTCTACACACTTTGCTGTTCCTTCCAAGAGGAAACTATGGCATGGCGTTAGAAATCACCTCCTAACCAATCTCAACTAGAAGCGTTCACAAGAACAATTCTTCATGATTGATTTGAGACACCCACCTGCTCCAAACTCACAGGAAAGGTTAATGCTAGAGCTTAACACGTTACCTACATTCTTTTTCAGCATACAATATACATATGCTTCAGCATGCATATTTAATAAACTCAACACTACAAAGTTAGAAGACCTATGTCCTTATGGGCTTATAACAAATAGTATATCACCTCTTTTTTTGCCCCTTCCTACAATGCTTCTAGTTACAATTATGAACAAGGGAGCACTCTTGTTGACCTTGATTCATTTAAAGCAGAGATCCTCATACAACCTCAACTATGAATTAGTCTGAATTTCTACTCCTCTTTTCCAACTAGCTTCTTTTATTGAAGAAATCAAGTTTCAGTGCACAGGTACTGTTAGAAAAAAGGTTTCCAAAAAGCTCAGAGAACTTCAGAACATTTAGCACCGGGGGGTGTAGAAAAAAAAAGACTAAACCAAAGTTTTCATTATTCTGTATATGGGAAGCACTTTCAGCAAGTTAGCTGAAAAGTTAATGGAAAGGAAGAGCTAATTACAGTGCATACGAGTACAAAAGAAATTTCCTGTTACCTCAGCTGCTTTTTCCTGAACAAGCTTCCTCGCGTGTTCTTCCTCCTGAAGTTTCTGTTCCAGCTCTTTCATTTTTTTCTAGTCAAAGTTGAATAAAAACAATAGCATTAATAATAGAACAATTCTTTTTTCCCCCTGAAGCCTACAATACTACAGGCTCGAGCAAAAAGTATTTCAGTTCAACTTATGACTTAAAGTGAAGACTTCAGCATTAGAATAATTGCTGACGTTTTCTCTGTATAGGCATAAGTACAGCAGTCAAGTGCTTATGCTTAAAACGTAATTGATTTTTCTATTTTTACTTCCACAACTGGTATCTGAATTTAAGTCACAGCCTAAGGGGAGGGCAGTACACAAGTCTGTCTTTCTCTTTGGCTGTAAAAAAAAACCCTTGAAAGTAGGTTGGTTTGTGTACATTATCCTAAAAGATTTTGTGCTACAGAAGGGCTAACATCCCTTTGTGTCATAAGCTGAGAAAGGACTTACTTTTTTTAGACCACTAGAAGTATTTTTGCTAATATCCGCAACTTAAACTCTTAGACCATAGGAGTTTTTGAACATCTAGCCATCTTCTTAATAGAGGGAGGAAAGTTTATATGATACCTCTGAGATATCTTTAAGCAAAACTGAGTGATTTCATCTCTTTATGGTTAAAGAGACATAAGAACTCTTTTGAAAGCCCTTTTCAAAGAAAAGAGTTAAGGGGAAAGGCACACATTTCTTTGTAAACTCTCCAACAAGACAAAAACCTTGTCTAAGAGTTATCAGATAACTTTGATTTACACAGCAGAGTGAAAAAATGATCCAGAGCTCCACAACAAACAACAACTTCCTTTCTCTTCCCCTGAAGACTGATTATTCACAGTCACTAATCCAACTTCAGTCAGAAAAGCACACAATTCAAAGTAACAGCTATTTTTGCACACTTTTGTTTGTTTATAAACCCACTCTGCTGAAGTAGTAAATATTTCAATTCTGCTTTACTTAAACATTAACTGCAAGATTCACGTAACCAGCTGTTATACAAAAGGTGTTAAAAGGCAAAACCCTGAATAAACATTGAGGACAAAGGCACCATATAAAGGAACCAACTTTTTCTGCTGAATAAAAGAACCCTTTTGACTGATTTTATTTTCTTCATTGAAATCAGGTGTATTCCAGGTAACTTAAAATCACCTGCCCTTTACAGCATGTGGCAATTGCAATGCATGCTGCAAAAAAATTTCAATGAAAAAAACAGAAATAAAATATTTCAATGTCTATTTTTTGTTCATTTTCTAAGGAAAATTAAGTTTCATGCAATCACCTCAGTCATCTTTCCTGTTGTCAGTGAAATAAATTTCAAACAACTCTAACCAAAGATGACAAAGGTATGAGACCTCAAAGATGCAGAACACCTAAATTTCCTAAAAATTGGCTGCTGGGATAAACATCGAAAGTAGTTCCACCACAGAGGAAATGTCTCCAGTGTGAAGACAGGTTTTACCTCTGTGCTTCACTACCTTGCAAATTAGCACCTGCTTGTTACTTCTCACCACCTCGCAATTAGAGGCTGGCAGAAAAAAACCAGGGGTAGGTAGTGCACAGCCAATACAAGATGCAAGGATTCATTATTTCGGCTGTTCACAAAATGGTGGGGGTTTATTAACTCTCACTGTTAGCATTAAGAAAAGATTGATTACTACTAACTACAATTCTTCAAAACATGTCATCTACACATAGATTCAAATTCTGGCCATCTGGCCACGCACAAGATGAGAGCCCAAACGGCACTTTTAGGGTACAACCCCATCCTCAGACACAGACATGTTCACACCCTCTCAGTCAGCTACTCAGAGACTGCAGGACTACAGTTGTAATAAACATACACCAGAAAATGCTTTTGAGTCAAGTACTCCAATTACGAGTACTTCACATGAATCTGCATTTCCTTTTTACAATCAATAGTCACACTGGCAAATTGCTTGAAGGTAATACTTATAGGGTCAGGTAGCAGCTCCACAGAGATTAAGTGTTCTCAGTTGGACCCACACACAACTAGTACTCCAGTAGTGTCTGAAAGCAGCAGCAGTTAAATTATTGCTCGCTCGTGAGTAGTCAGCTTACCACTTTCCATCCATTTCAGCACACCAAGTATAGAAATAGTCTTTCTTATCTATTTCTTGCTTCAAATTAAACCTGCAAATGTTCCTGTGGTCTTGCCACAACTAAAGCAGAGATCGAAGGGGCAACAGATGCAATTGTTTTGAGCAAAGCGTGCAGTCACCCTTTCAGGATTCTGAAGTAACACTTAACACAGGGATGCTTATGTAGAAACATAACCTGGCAGATAGACCTATTGACCAGAAAACAGCTCATGACAGCAAAGTGATCACAAGGAAAATTACTTTAGTTAGAGTTAAATCCAGATTTCTCTTGGTTCCTAGAATTGATTAAAAATTTTTGGTGAATTTTACACCCAATTCCAATAAAATAGATTTAATTGTGACAGCTACTAATTCCTAAAGATATCAAAGAATCAAAGACGTCTAGTTTGATCCAGGAAAAGAAAAAGAACTGTTATGCTGGAATTATGTTCACTAGCCAGTCACAAAAATACAAACAACCCAGCCCCACCCAACTCCAGCTGCTGCCAGTCAAAAACTTGGTAAAAGCCCCTGAGAAAGGAACTCCCGTTGCTGAACCAGTTATTTCAACCCTGACCCTGGAAGAACCTACTGCTACTTTCACTGAACAAGGCCCAGGAGACACTCATAATGCAGGCACTTTTACTCCAAAGCAGCTTACCAAAATGGAGTGTCAAGATCTTAAACAGCTTGTTACAGCTGCCTTGGGTCAGGGACTCCCAAGAATAGCTGTAGTGTCTAAAGGTCCTGCAGCAGAACAACTACCTAAAGATTTACTATCAAACATTTCCTTATATACTCCTGGAAAAACACCATCTACTATAGCACCTGGCAAGGGCTGGTGGCAAACCTACAATTTCTATAGAGCCCAGAGCCATCCTCAAATACCCCAATCTAATCATGTACTATCTGCTCCTTTCGGATAGAGGAAATTTGCAGGTGGAAGCCTCTCCCTCATTAAAACATCTGTAGTTCCCACACTTGGGAGTCTTGTGGTCTCTCCACAGCAGCAAAAAGAGGTAGAACGTGGACCAGATTTCAGAAGCCAACACCGCAGATGGTACACAGCAAGAATACGATCAAACGCGGTCATGCTGAATTTAAAAGCTACCGATTCAAAATGAATCCTGAAGAGGCAGATTGGTTCAAACCCACCAACAGCCAGCCAGTGCTAGAGGCCTAGCAATGGCAGGCTCCAGAGTTCTGCAAGCAAATTAATTGACAATAACTGCATTTCTTAAGGAGCATAAATGGCTAAAAGAAAAAACACACCAAACCCACACAAGCCAAGCCCAGTCTGGGTTATAACAGAATAAAACTGCTAGCACCAGTAGCACGCAAGGCAACTCAGAAGTTGGGAGCTTAGGAACGCCCGTGGTCCCGCATGCCTGCGCGCCAACTAACCACTAAAGAGGAACACCAACAGATACCGTTAAGGCTAAACAAAGCATAGTGACATAAAGCCTACCTGGCCACACAGACTTTCAGAAATAACTGCAAGTTTTTACACACTTCAGCTTTAAAAAGATGATTAGTTGCTGTCATTCTCTACAGCACCAAGTTTTGTTCAGCTCTATTACTGGCACATGGCTATCAAGTGCTGATTACAACAAACAAGCTAAATCTGACACAGTATCCAGTACAAATGACAGACCTCTGCTATGGACTGCATCGTAGTAAGTCTGCTGTACTCTTTTTCCAGCATATCCAGCTTTTCCAGTTTAGACTGAACATGTGATTGATCAAGAAGCCGATCTCTCTCCAACGAACCCTTGAAGGGAGAAGTGAGAAGCAAAACAATAATAAGCACAATAAAACAAAACCATCTATAGTAAACTTTGTGTCTGCAGCACAAAGGAGGCCCATAAACAGTCTAAAGGAACTACTACTTTCTCTATGCAATTTTAGATGGTGTTATGATTAGGAGCAACTGCACCACTGGTCCATCAATGTTGGGAACCTCACATTCAACCAAATTCAGATGAAAGAATTCTGCAGTCTCTCCTCCCTCTGAGCCCAACATGGTAAAAAACTGTCATTAATCAGCTATTGAGATAGCTTTCTTTATTGGTCTTTGTGGCTGTTATATTTCAGACTATTAAATATTTATTGAAGAAAAAAAAAAATTAACAGAGGTGATCCATACTCCTATAAAACAAAATTCGAGCTCATTTTAGATAAAGGGCAAATCTCACAGTCACTGACTGTGGAAACAAAAATTTTACTATTATTTCTACAGAATCAGTATTTCAGCCCATTTAGCAAAAGAAGTGCTAGCAACAAACATCCCCAAAGATGTGAAGAGTGTAAACACAAAAGGAAGGGTTTTTTTCCCAGTAGCACGTGGGACCCCACACTGAGGGATGAGGATGAGATACTGCAGTAAGCCAATCGCACAGATGCGAACAATTCTTCTTAATATCAGAGTCTCTGATACTGCCTTAGAGACAGGTGCACACAGGCAGAAAATACTAGGGTCCTGATAAGACTGGGAAATTTAAGTAGGGAAATTATCCACACCTAAGTATATGAAGGCCAGCTGAAACAGACATCCACTCTTAAAAGATATTAAAATGACAGTAAGTAGGAAAAATCATGACATAGATCATGGCTTCTATAATTTAATCCTGAGATAATCTTGAGAACACACCTGTTTTTCCAAGAGATGCGACTTCTCATTTTCTGCATGCTGGATCATTTTTCTCATGTAGTCAAGCTGTTTCTCTAAAAGGCTGCACCGAGACTCAGCAGCTGCTAGCTGAGAAGCCAGCTCTGAAGATAAGAGAAGACAGAAAAATGAAATCACGCACCGCTTGTTCCTGGAATTTTTTTAATGTTTTCAGGGCAGTTCCAAATACGAACAAGAACAGGACCACCTAAAGAAACCCACTGATTAAGCCTAATGAACTTCTGGATGCATACAAATCCCTAAAGCAAAGTATGCTTTTAAAATTATTTCTTTGTAACTCCATGTGTCACTCTCCATGTGTCACTGCAAAGTAAAGGATGCCAAACAAAGTCAATTAAAATAGGTTTATGCATTGATAAAACCTAATTTTCATCCACCTCAGCATTCTGTAGTATCTATATAAAGTTTGCAAACAACCTTGATTTTTCTTTGCCACTTCAGTCTTGTCATGCTCTTTGTGTTGCATTTGTTCACTTAGTACTTTTTTATAGTCTGCTGTTTCTCTGCTGAGGTGTTTTACATTCTCCTCCGCCTGAAGCCGTTCCAACTCCAGTCGATGAATTTTTTCCTGGAGATTCTTCAGAGCAGAAAATATTGCTGTAATTGAACAAGTACCTTTTGTTAGATACCATCAAATCACCACTGCAAGATAACATTGAACTTGAAACGTTTTATAAAAAGCACATTATGTAAGAAAGTCAGTGTTCCTTACCAGCATCCAAGACTCCTTCCAGGAATTAAAACCTGCTTTCCTTTAAACCATAACTGATTCTAAAACTAGTCTCAAGTGAACAGATGCCCTTGGTGCACACCTTCATCTGAAAAATTTGGGAAAGATGCATCCATTTCACAGAACAAGGCACGTAAATGTTCTGTAGATTAAGTGCAAACAATGCATCTTCTAACACTTTATCAAAAGGAAATGAAAGGTAACAACTACATAGTTAAAACAGTAGCAAATTCTCTGTATTATGATTCCTCTACAAGGGCGTGCTACCACAACAAATTCACAAACACAACGTTCCTAGGAATGGTCACAGAGCAGAATAAAAGTTGGAGAAATAAACACTTTCACAACCCATCTAATAGCTAAGCGGCAACTCTTTTTTGATTCTTCTGGTTTTGCACTTGTGTTCCTTTCCTCCCCCCAAGACACACATGTCCTCTGAAGAGGACAATCTTCCCTCTTGCTGTTCCATTCCCTGCTTTAACAATTACTCCACAAAACCTTTATGTATTCATCACCACAAAAAGAAAAGTAGTTGTAACACAACTCGCATCACCGTGCAATTAGACCATCTGCTGGTAATCTGATGTATTACGTCTCTTAGCTGTATTGTTTAATTTTGCAAAGGGAACCATAACCATAAACCCTTTCCCCTACATAGTCCTGTTAAAGTAAAACACAGGAACATCTGTACAGCTCATATAGCAGACTAATCTGCAAGGTCACATTAACCCACTCCTTTGTGCTTAAACCCACTCCAAAGAAAGAATGCACCGCCTTTGTTACCGAATGCATGAGCACAGAAAAGTTGGGACTGCGTATTTGTTTGAGCATCAGATTACAAAAAAAGGAAAAAAAAAAAATCATTCTCAGAATGAGTTTTCCAGAGTAAAAAAACCTCATCAAATCTTGAAATGCAGAATAGCACATTAGAGTATCACATCAATAAGAACTACCTGCTTTAAGGTAACTGTTAAGTAAATAAGGGGGTGACAGCAGTCACGGTTAAGGGAAGTTACAGCTAGCTTGGCCCCGTTTGCAGGATCAGTCACCAACTGTACCCTCTTCTCTTTATGTTACTGCTATCAGGATTCAATTGAAATGGGCATAGCTGAAGCTATGAACAGCTTGGTTACTGTTATCTTTAAAGCTAAATTGAAATCTCTGTGTATTTACAATAATGACTAACAAAATACAGGAATGAAGCAATTCAAGAAACTAATAATGACGAAACCCAACACAATGACATTCAGTCATCTTATTAGAGTGCTAACACCAACTATGTATGCTGAGACACACACATATACAACACAAAGAAATTCAAACAAAAATAAGAAGAATTCACTATTTTTAATTTCAGGATTTTTAAATATGATTTTTTTAAAAAAACAGGGAGTGGGTGGAGTGGTAAGGACCCCCAAGAACAGTCAAATCTACTTTCCCATCTGAAGTTAATTCCCTTATCCTTAACCTTACTAAAATATACACTCCAGAAAATTTTTGCATTTTTAAAACCTACACAAAAAGAGTTAAGATACTGGATCATTTGCCTGTTGGATTTCAGTACATATTCATATTTACTTAAACATTTTTTGAAAATAAAAACATTTCATTATTTTTAAAAAGGGATATAATTTATGTGCTGGTTTTGGTTGGGATAGTTAATTTTCTTCATAGTAGCTAGTATGGGGCTTTGTGCTGAAAACAGTGTCTTACACAGAACCAAGGCCTTTTCTGCTTCTCACACTACACCAACGAGTAGGCTGGGGGTGCACGAGAAGTTGGGAGAGGACACAGACAGGACAGCTGACCTGAACTGACCAAAGGGATATTCCATACCATATTGCATCATGCTCAGCTTATAAAGCTGGGGGAAGAAGGAGGAAGAGGGGGGGAATTTCATAGTGATGGTGTTTGTCTTCCCAAGTAAATGTTATGCATGATGGAGCCCTGCTTTCCTGTAGATGGCTGAACACCTGCCTGCTGACGGGAATTGGGGAATGAATTCCTTGTTTTGCTTTGCTTGTGTGTGCAGCTTTTGCTTTACCTATTAAACTGTCTTTGTCTCAACCCACGAGTTTTCTCACGTTCACTCTTCGAATTCTCTCCTCCATCCTGCCAGAGGGGAGCGAGTGAGCAGCTGCATGGTACCTGGCTGCTGGCTGGGGCAAAACCACAATTTATCAGATTTATCACCTGTACTTATTTCAGAGTTGGCAGATTCCCTGATTGAAAAAAGTTGCCAAGCGAAAACTTGGAAATCAAAAGTTTGTCACAAATTCAATATGCAACACAAGCTACAAAAATATGCCTGCATCAGTAATTCATAGGGAAGCTCCTTCCTGTACATTCAATTTTTTATCTGTCACAAGGTTCCTTTAGGTTTATGTCAATGGCACTCTCAAAACTGACAGCATTGAGCATATGAGAGCATACACTGCATTTTAAATAGCACTTCAAGAATTCAGTTTTCATCTACTAGGTCATTAACATAGAAGTCTCTAATAATTCAGTCATGAATTATGTTATTGAAACAGGGACTTGAGCCTATCATGTTGATTTTTTATTTAGTTCGAGTAATATTAGGATTTGTCTTAATTTTTTCTCACTTTTTTCTCCCTATAAGGAAAAAATACCAAGTTTTTCATACCCTTAAGCCTCCATACAACTCCTGTCTTAAAGGGAGTCTTACTGCAATGACTCTGAGCCAAACAGCTCACATCAAAGGATCAGTCCTGCTCTAGTTTCCCAACTCCCCGCTGCCCCCTGTACTTACCCCAAGGCAGATCTGGAGTACATCCCACTGCACGATGAGCCAATTCACTAACAGAAAACTAACAGAGAATGTTTTTGTTCATGTCAAGTCAAGAAAGACAAATCTGGAGATGAACACCAGGACCAGAGTGGGAAAGGAGGGAGAAGGAATAGCCTAGAAACGAGGAAGAATAAATGGAAGGAAAGTCTCCTCCCTTTTTGGTGTTGTGATCTCTGTTCAGCACTATGCTGCATAATACTCTTTCTGTATGCTCTAAGTCTTCACTGATACGATAAATATTCTCACCACACCATAGACAACAATTCCCATTTCAACAGCAGCAAACCTCCTTCTTTGCTGGAAACCATTTTGGGACTAAAGTCTCCTTACTTTAAGCTCAGCTGTGAACTCAAGAGAGGAAAGATTGAGAGAGAGGAGGACTGGAGAAACAGCAAAGCAAACATGTCAAGACAATTTCACAAAGCAGTAGGTCAATTTTAGAGCTCTCTACTACTGAAGAGGAGCATCTTTCTCCAGCTGTAAAATTACCTTTTTCATTAGGTATTCTTCAGAAAGAGAAGTGCAAAGGACCTATAAAACAGGTGACCTGTACATCACTGGGAAATGACAAAAGAATAAAAAGACCACAGCCTTTGTAGATGTGGACACAGTATTTCACCACACGATTTGGAAACAGCTAAGAAAACGACTTTCCTGAACTATTACCTCTGCTGTTGCTTTCAGGATACGGGATTACTGGTTTCTGTGGGGAGCGCAGCAAATCTGAATTAATAAATGGCTTGTACTTTGGATATTCTATAAATGAAGTTGCAGAGTGTCCATCTGTTGCTGACACAGAGTTATGAGTTTTGTGCAGATCATCCTGAAAACAAAACAAAAATATACAGCACATTTGTTTCTATCACAACAAGAATAAAGTAGAATCCAATTAAGATGATGTGTAGAAGTATTGCTGCAGGAGACTAATACCTCAAAAGCTCTATTTCCTTCCCTACAGCCTTAAGCTGTGTCATTTTTATATCCAACTCCCTCCCACTAAAAATAGTATCAGAAAGAAAATGTTTTTTCCATACTAGTTTCCAATTTCCACTTTTGTTTTCTATTTACTCATACTGTCTCTTGCTTATTGTCAGAAGGTAATACACCAGTGAGTTGGAAAATAGCTGCCACCCTAACTACTGATTATACTTACTGCAACACGAGATACTGTACTGAGGTGGCCCAACCCGATAAAGCACACCAAGGACCCCAGCTCTACATCCACTCATCTAACACAACAGCTCACTGACTGTCGATGGGGCAGGGGACACACTGTCTCCTCATCCTCCCAGCTGCACAGTCCCAATCCCTCTTTTCCACCGGCTTCAATTCAGCTTTCCTGTCCTTCCACAAATAGATTAAACCTCATCAGCAGACACATCTAGATGACTTCATGCTACATCTGAGTAGTGGTATCAGCAGAAAAACAAGTAGCAGCAGGTCACGGCCAGGAAGGTACCTCTGAGCAGCAACATGCCCTTAGATCAGCTTGAGACTGTTCTCAAAAACACGGTGTGGTGGGTTGACCCTGGCTGAG